GTTGGAGTCATTTGATAGGAGCTCCGAGACACATCTCGCGACAAGGTTTGGCTCGGTTCAAGTTCCAATTTGGCACGCGAGCTTTTCCGGATGACATTCGGGCGCAATCCGTTTTGTTGCAAATTCGTGACCAAATTATTCAAAACTAAATTCTGTTTTTGTTCATTTTGGATATTGAGGATTTCAAAATTGCATTTATTATTGCGGTTTACAAGAACCATTATTCAGCATTCTAGCAACAAGCAGTCTTAACACCAGGTCAAATAGCCGGCCTTGAAAGCGCCCGGTGGGCAAGGACGACATCTCCAAGGTCGCCGTCGTCGATGAGGAACTTGTTCGGAAAGACGAACGCACCCATAGCCGGATCGTGGGGGATCCTCCGCTCCACGACAGCAAAATGGATCATCTGTTTGACCTTTTCGCACCACTCCTGGTAGTCTGGCCTGTTCTGCTCCGGCTGGCTACTGATTCGCTTGCAACGCTTATCCTGCAGAAGGGGCCATTCGATCTGCAATGTGGTGTAGGGTTGGGTGGATGGTTTATGAGGAGGGTAGGTTACGGGTAAATGAGGCAACTGAAAGCGGTGATGCAGTCGTCACTATCTACGTAACTGCAAAGGCCTAATCGACCAGGGTTTTAGCTGAAGTACAGGCAAGGGGTTAAGGGGATGAGGCATGGGGGTACAAACACATATCTACATCCTTACCGAAAACAGGCCCCATGCCACCATGCGGCTCTTGAACTTGGTGAACACCGCCCCGCCCCTCTTGAAGGAGAGCTTGAACGCATAAGCGAACAAGGGGTTGCTGAAGGGTGTCCCGATGGCCTTGTCAAAGTGCCAGTTGAGGGCCCACTGTTCTGCTTTTTGGCAGGGAGGGTATGGGTTGGAAAGGGTTTTGTAGAGAAATCAAATGGGGGGATGAGAGTCAGGGTGAGCCACATCGCACGGTGATATGTAGCTGCCAAGGGGCATATGGTAGGGCATATTGTGTTTTCGAGTTGCACTGCACATACCATCTCTGTACTCGGCTAGGAGTTGATCGTCGTCGAACCAGGTCGTTGGGTGTAGCTCAGTGGGCAGGCTATCCACGAGATGGCTGTAATCGGCAAGGCCCATGCCGGTGTATGCTGCTGGCCTGAGGGTGGAGTTGATAGTTGACCTTGTTGAGGACAGCTGGTGGTTGAAGACTCCCATGGTTGACTTGTCATTGTGCAACCACAGCAGCTTCATTGCCTCGAGCCCTTCTGCAGACAAGTGGACAGAGAACGCTTCGAACACTTCCTCCGGTGCAGGGTAGTACTGTATTTTCTCCGGCGGGTTCAGAAACATGAGCTGAGAGCACACTAAGTAGGCTTTGTTCTGCGCAGGGGTGTAAGGTATACAACACGACATGGAAGAGAGAAACCAGCAGTTATGAGGGTGGCCGCGTGACCATGGGATGGTGACTAGCAACACTGTTTGAACTTGCCACGTCACCCCCCACCCACCTGACACGCGTCGCCTCGTCACGCGCCGCTCCCGTGTACCATTCCAAACCGCCACGTCAGCCCCAACCCTCACATTCTGCCACGTCACACCCTTTTGCATCCGCCAACAACCCGCCCTACTTGCCACGTCACACCCCCCACCAAGAGCCACGTCACCCCCCACCCACCTGAAACGCCTCGCGCCGTCATGCGCCGCTCACGTGTACCCTTTTAGGGTGCCACGTCATCCCCAACCCTCACCTTCCGCCACGTCACACCCACCTGCATCTGTCGCGTCATCCCCCACCCTCACCTTCCGCCACGTCACACCCTCCTGCATCCGCCACGTCCACCAACCAGCCCCACGTGCCACGTCACACCCTCCTTGTCCGCCACGTCCACCAACCAGCCCCACGTGCCACGTCACACCCTCCTGCATCCGCCATGTCCACCAACAACCAGCCCCACGTGCCACGTCACACCCTCCCACCCCATGCCACGTCACCCCCCACCCACCTGACACGCGTCGCCTCGTCACGCGCCGCTCCCGTGTACCATTCCAAACCGCCACGTCAGCCCCAACCCTCACATTCTGCCACGTCACACCCTTTTGCATCCACCAACAACCCGCCCTACTTGCCACGTCACACCCCCCACCAAGAGCCACGTCACCCCCCACCCACCTGAGACGCCTCGCTTCGTCATGCGCCGCTCACGTGTACCCTTTTAGGGTGCCACGTCATCCCCAACCCTCACCTTCCGCCACGTCACACCCACCTGCATCTGTCACGTCATCCCCCACCCTCACCTTCCGCCACGTCACACCCTCCTGCATCCGCCACGTCCACCAACCAGCCCCACGTGCCACGTCACACCCTCCTTGTCCGCCACGTCCACCAACCAGCCCCACGTGCCACGTCACACCCTCCTGCATCCGCCACGTCCACCAACAACCAGCCCCACGTGCCACGTCACACCCTCCCACCCCATGCCACGTCACCCCCCACCCACCTGACACGCGTCGCCTCGTCACGCGCCGCTCCCGTGTACCATTCCAAACCGCCACATCAGCCCCAACCCTCACATTCTGCCACGTCACACCCTTTTGCATCCGCCAACAACCCGCCCTACTTGCCACGTCACACCCCCCACCAAGAGCCACGTCACCCCCCACCCACCTGAAACGCCTCGCGCCGTCATGCGGCACTCCCTTGCACCCTTTCACACCGCCACGTCATATCCCAACCCTCACCTTTTGCCACGTCACACCCAACCCGCATCCGCCACGTCCACCAACAACCCGCGCCACTTGCCACGTCACACCCACCCACCCCATGCCACGTCACCCCCCACCCACCTGATACGCGTCGCCTCGTCACGCGCCGCTCCCGTGTTCCCTTCGAAACCGCCACGTCAGCCCCAACCCCGCCCTTGTTGCCACGTCAACCCCAACCCTCCCCATGTGGCCCGCCACATACCGGGAATGGGTTTGTCTCCTGCAACACTAGCACTCGTGCCTTGTCCACGGCGCTCATCGGCGGCGGGGTACCAGCCATAGGCAGGGCTGCCGACCCGCCGGCATAGCTGGCAGGTACTCCACGACGCAGGCCGAGCTGTGCAAACATGGCGTACATCTCAGACCGCAGCGCCTGGAACTCCTCCCGTGTAACAAACTGCTCGTGCTCCGCAATTTCACCTAGGGCACCCATGAGCGGAGGAAAAGGGTGTGAAGAATCCCCCCTCTGGCCAAGGGGATCAACGTCTTCTGCAGCAGTCCCGTGTGCCCTCACACTATCACGCTGGTGGGAAAAGGGGAGCTCAGGGAAGGGATTGGCATAACTGCCTGCCTGATGCCCGCGCGAAGGATCGGCGAGAGGGGAGACCGCCCTGCCCCGGACAGGAGAAGCGTGGAGTTGCCGAAATTGGTACGAGGGTGAGGCGAGTGGGGACTGCGTGACGGGGGCGGGTGGAGGGGATTCGGATTCCTCTCCTCTTGGCGCGCCTGGTGCCGTCGCAGCGACTTTGCTCGGGCCGGCCCATGGCGTGTAGTACCTTGGTGCTCCGGAGGAGAGCGGTGTAACACTCGCTCTTCCGGCAGCATTCGTTAGATGCATTCGTTGCACGCTTACGGGCGGCCCAATGCCTGTAACGCGAGGGGCTGAGATGTAGAGGGAGCCGGAAAAAAAAAATAGAGTCGATCGGTTTCAAGGCGGGGCCGGACATGCATGCATATTCAGAAAGGTTTGAATCTAGATCGGGTTCAGGGTTGTACTGGTTTGAGACAAGAGGGTTTACCTTGCTTGGCAGATTCGTCGACCTTCTCCTTCCCTGCATGGGAGAAACAATGTGAAAAAAGGGTGTTTTTTGGCACGGTTTAGCAGATGGTTCAACACGTCACGCCAGTTTTATTGGACACAATGCTCACCTTTCTGCTGTCCCTTCGGTTTTGGGGCAGCCTGCGCCTTCTCGTTGCCACCTTTCCGCGGGGTGCTTTGGCGGACGCTGCCCAGTTTACCGGCAGGTTCTTTCTTGCTGGTACCCACTGGAACCCCTTTGGTGCGGCCACCCTTTCCTCCTCCATCCCCTTTTGCTCCCTGGCTCCCTTGCTTTTTACCAACCCCTTCACTTTCGACCTTCACCTTACGCGCCTTCGGTTTGCCCGATGCTTCGCCGCGTGCAGCGTCAACTGCCCCGCGTTTTCGGGAAGGGCGAGTCCGGCCCCCCTCCTTCCCTGTACCACTCACCCGTCTGCCACGCCCGCCCCGTCCCTTCACTGGCGCCACCTCCTCCTCCTCCTCCTCCTCCTCCTCCTCCTCCTCCTCCTCCTCCTCCTCCTCCTCCTCCTCCTCTGCCTCCTCCTCCTCCTCCTCCTCCTCCTCCTCCTCATCCTCCTCCTCCTCCTCCTCCTCTTCGTCCTCCCCGCCATCATTCTCATCTTTTTCATCCTCCCCAACATCCGCGTCATCCTCCTCCGCTTCCTCTTCATCCTCCTCTCCCTCCGCATCCTCCTCCTCATCCTCCTCCTCCTCCGCATCACCGGGGTCTTCATCGCCCCGTTTCGGCTTTGTTCCCGTCGCTGCTTTCTTGCCTCTCCTTCCGCCGGATGCTTTTCTTGCTGCGGGTCGGCCCTTCTGGCGCAATGCTTGACCGCCCGCCTTGCCACTAGCTTCCTTGGCGCCTCGCGGTGTCCCAACTGCCGCGCCACCGGCGTCGTCAGCACTACCTGTCGTCTGCCGCCTCTTCGCCCGCGTAATGAGGTCCCCGGGCACGGCGGTGTCATAATCGTCCTCCCCATCGCTCTTCCTCTGCCTATGCCTCCCCCGTCCACCAGAAGGTGGAGAGCCACCGACCAGCCCCACCGACTCGTGCTCCCCCACCTTGTCCTTATCCAGCACGGCTGCAGAAACTTCGACCACGGTCGGCTGGAGCAGCGTCAGATGGTGTTGCGTTGCCGCCGCCTCGGACTCCTTGGTTGCGGCATGCTCGGCGCGGGGATCGCCTCCGTGATTTCCCTCCGTCGCCGATCCCTCCATCTCCGCCGACGGGAGTGCAAGACTCGCGCTCCCTCGCCCCGGATCTTCGTTGCCGCCAGTGGTGCCGTCTTTACTCGGACCGGGCTCGGTTCCAGCAGAGGCAACATCCGCATCTTTGTTCACTGTAGAAACACGCTTGCGTGGCGTTGGTTTAGGCCCCTTGTCTTCCGCTTTCTTGCCGGCCTCCTGTTGACCGCGCGCGACCTTTTTTGCCGCCGCTTTTTTCTGCCCAATGCCACGAGCGACGGGCGCATTAGTTTTTTTAGCGCCGCCACCACACTCCCTATCGATTTGTTTAGACGTCCTCCTTGTCGCGCGGCGGCCGGCCTGTTCCTCCTCCATTGCTTGGTTACGTGTTGCACGTGTCATGGTAATTGTAGGAGGAGCAAAGTTGCAAATCGCGCGGAACGGTTGAGCCGGTTTCGAAAGGGTTCTGCAACTGAATCCCACGATGGGATTATCGACGGTCTATCACTATTATGTGTTTCCGAAAACCGCCACTTCAACTAAATCTGTCATAGTAGCCAATATGCTTCGCGCTAAGGCCGATATGGAGAGGCGTGTGTCAAGGCAACGAGCAGCGTCAAAGTGTTGGTCCAGGGAGTGACGGAAGCAGGTGGGTGGGAGACGAGGGTGGTTGGGGTGGGTTGCGAGACTAGAGAGAGTAATGTAACCCTATCACCCTAGCATAAACCCACCTACCGCTCGATCTCAGCCGCTCAATGGCTGAAGTACCTCTTGGCTGATGACTGTGTTGCAGGGGGAATCGTTTGAGATGCGTCGGCCAATCACGGTTGCCAACGCATAAATCACTAAATTTTATTCAAACATACAACAATGCATTTCATCAAACTCTAAGTTGCAAATGGTTTATCACGGGGTTGGGGTAAGTTAATCGGTGATTCTTACGTCACACACACAACGACCGTCCAGAATTATTACTTGTGACAGATGTACTGTGCACTTTTAGGCTTTGCCACAATGGTTTAGGGCCAGCGGACGACATTCTAACACGATTATCAATAGTAACAAACGTGAATCCGTTGTGGTATGGTGTTGGATTGTCATCCATTCTTGCACAGACATTAAACAAGGTGCTTAGAAGGAGTGGTATGAAGCACAGGCCCAACGCACAAGTGTAGATGCGTTATCGACAGCCATGGTTAGACTGTGCGACGATGCAGCGTTCAGGCCTGCGGGTTGCGCGACATGGTGAATCCGTTGTGGTATGGTGTTGCATTGGCATCCATTCTTGCACAGACATTAAACAAGGTGCTTAGAAGGAGTTGTATGAAGCACAGGCCCAACGCACAAGCGTAGATGCGTTATCGACAGCCATGGTTAGACTGTGCGACGATGCAGCGTTCAGGCCTGCGGGTTGCGCGACATGGTGAATCCGTTGTGGTATGGTGTTGCATTGGCATCCATTATTGCACAGACATTAAACAAGGTGCTTAGAAGGAGTGGTATGAAGCACAGGCCCAACGCACAAGCGTAGATGCGTTATCGACAGCCATGGTTAGACTGTGCGACGATGCAGCGTTCAGGCCTGCGGGTTGCGCGACATGGTGAATCCGTTGTGGTATGGTGTTGCATTGTCATCCAACATTGCATGGACATTGAAACCGTTGTGTTATTGTACAACATTGTCATCCATTCTTGCATATTCATTCAGCACGGTGCGTAGAGGTACACTACACCTCGAGAGAAGACACGCTATTGGTATTCGCTCCACGCAACAATCATACGTTAGGGCATGGAGTTATTGGGTACTTCCCGTATCGTTATCAAGTAAGGGTTGTTCAACATCAGTCCTAAGGATATGAATGTTTACTAGTTATGAATGACTTGAGTGTCTTGTTAAGTTGTAATTGTACATTTGCATTTCCATGTTTGTTTGAAGCCTCTTGAGCTCACCTACGTGATTCTGATTTCCCCCCTATATCGATTCGCGACACAATCACAGATCCAAACGGATATCTTCCCGCTCTTCCTCATCCCCCTCGACTCTCACGCACGGTTCCTAAACACAAGTTCTTGACTCAATAGGCACGTCCTTCTCACCGTGCTCGCGACGCACACACACGACCGTGAGACTTAAGATCCTCCGCATTCTCCTCTGCTCACGTCGTGGTCACTCTAAACGGGGGCGACACGCCTTGTAGGGAAGACGGCCCGTGAGGTGGGCGGTCTGTATCGTGCCTGGTAACGACCATGCGGCTCGACATCGTTAGCCAGTCATAAACATTAGCGCCAATGTCAAGTGCCAGTCATGCAGTGATACAAGCCGCCCACCACAGTGCGCGCATTGGCGATGATCGTGTAGCTGCTTCTTGAACGGAGTACTTAATGCGTTCACAAGCTTCATCACGGCTAGTAGCTTCATAGGCGATTTCTCGACTCTACAACGGATCCGTAACACATGGGCTCTTTACCAGGCGTCGTCTGCGAGTTCTGCAACAGATGGTTCCCCAACGCCCAAGTTTATGGCGGTCATAAGTCACGGCGGACCCCTTGCCAAGGACTATCCGCCGTGGCAAGGCCGACGCGATCTGCACCGACCGCCGGTCTTCACGCTCTGCTATTCGTCCACGACATTCTGTCGGACGCTCTAGCCGCTCCCGGTTCACCTACAGCGTCTAACGCATCCAACGCCGTCAGTGTGAGCGGTCCTCCACGCGTGCCTGAAGCTCACGTTGACGAAACTCCCAATGACGTGAACGAGGGGCCTCCTGAAGATGAACATCAACCACAACCAGGAGCTCCTGCGGCTGACACGAGTGACCATCCTGAGAGCCGGCCCGAAGGGAGTCATGCCGCGCCGCCAACAATCATCTCCGGACAGAGCAATGCCACGCCCCTCAATCCGCTCGCGTTGAAGCTGCTGCATTTCGTTCGGCACGTGAATGGCGGAATGGGAATGGCCGAGGTTGACATCAACGGCCTGCTTCAGCTAGTCGTAGAGCCCGGCCTTGCGCCTCTTGTGATCTCGGAGCTCCGGAACTGTAAGGATCTGGAGCGGTTCGAGATGGAGCGTTTGGCAGGGCTCAATCGCGGATGGTCGGTGGCGACCTTCGAGATTGACGGTCATCCACCACAGCGCTTGCTCTTTCAGAACTCAGCCCAGGTAAGCCGACTTTGCATTCAAGGCCATGAAATGATGATGAGGCACACAGGGTTTGCATGTACGTAGTTATCCTTGTATTAACCGTACACCCACCTTCACCGCCACTAACCATGCCTCTCCTCTCACCTGCCTTCGCCACCGTACACCAGGCATTCGCTGAAATGTTTGGACATCCCAACAACGCGCCCGGCTTCAAGCTCAAGGCGCGTGTTGATGAGGACCCTGACGCAGGCGGCCGTCGCTATACCATGCCTGAGACAGGAACGTGGTGGAACGATGCTCAGGTAAGGAAAGACCACGTTGCCACCCCAAACCCAATCCTTCCTCATGCCTCCATCGCTGCACTAATCTGTCAAGAGCATCTTGAGCCCTAAACCGTGTGTCCGTTGCCGCTTTGTCGTGCACTGCAGGAACACTTCGGTTGGTCCGAAGTTGTGGGGGGGATCATCTTATATTCGGATGTGACGCACATGAGCATCAACGGCTGGAAGAAGGCGTGGCCGCTCATGATGACGCTGGCCAACATCTCCTAGGCCAAGCGATGGGGGAAAGCCGGGCACACACTACTTGCCCTCCTTCCTATCCCCCCGTCTGCAATGTCTGCCGTGGAGAAGGTGATGCTCTTCCAGCGTTGCGTCATCACCGTGCTGCAGCCGCTTCTTGATGGCATCGCCAGGTCCGTACTCGGTTTGCATCTTGCTAAGACATCATCTCACCACCTGCATGGTATGCAAACCCTCTCTGTATGTAGCATGGCCCTTTGCCCCTCGTCGTTCCTCCCTAAAAGCCGTAACCCGAATTCCTGTTGCCCCTCTACCTGTTCCTTGCAGCGGGTTCCGTCTCAGGGACCCTTTCGGTGATTGGCAAACCGTGCGGCCCCTGCTGTACGCCTGGGTGTGCGACTACCCCGAGAGCGGCAAGATCAGTTGCACACTCTCGCATGGATCGCGGATGTCGTGCAGCATCTGCTATGCTGCAAAGGTGAGGTCACATGCCATCTGCACGCATTCAAATACATTCTCGTTTGTGGGTCGCCTGATAGAACCCACATAGCTACCACCCTTACCTTTTCTATCCCATCCCTCACCCCCGTGCTACAACAGGAGCATCTGAGTGCTGTCAAGGCACGGAACACGCCGCGCACGCCTGAACAGCAGCAATGGATCGTTAACGAGGCGGCTGGGACGACAACTAGCCAGGCTGACCCGTGCAAGGCCTACTCTACCTACCCTGTTGAGGTGAGTGACCTGTTTCCCCGGCCCATGAGTAGTCTATGCTCTCGCCCGCCCTGTCATGAATTGCCAGATGTGCTCTGCCCCATTGAACTCACCCCACTTGTGGTTTAGGTTAGCTATCCACTCTCACGTACATCTCTCCTCCATTCCCCACCACATCCCCATTTCCAGTGCGTGCTCTGGAAGTGGGATGTCCCAGGGACCGCGTGGGGCAATCCCTACCTCGTGGTGATGCCTGACATCATGCACCAGGCGGACCTGGGCATCATGAGCCACATTGTGGCTGTCGTGCGCAAGATGAAGAAGCGGCGTGTGAAGCAGATGGACAGGTCAGTGTTTTGGGGATTGGATTCGTTGCTCTTCGTCACATTTACTCAAACCATAAGTTATGTCCTATTACTGACATGTTTCTGCCCTTTTGCCACCGCTGAACTGATGTGTATGGGCAGGCGCCTGTCTCTCATTCGCGACCGCACGCGCCTGAATCACATGCGCCTGCCGGAGAGCGCCTACTTCGAGACCGGAGCATGTGTGGCGGCCTATGAGCACAGGGCCGTCATGCAGGTATGAACCCTCCATTCCCTGTTGCTTGTCCTGGCCTAAACCCTCAAGCAGTCTGCTCATGCTGCCATTGTTTG